TTTGAAAGCCTTGAAGATTTAACAAAGCTAGCCCTAAAAGTGGAAGCTCAACTCAAGAAAGGCAAGTCCCCCTTGAACCGTCCCCTTCCACCACATCAAGGCCAACCAAATTACACCCCCATTGCTGCCCAAAACCCCACGGCCCCCTCCCCTAAAAATCCCAAAACCATACACCCTGTTTCATCGCCAAGTGCTCCTCCTTCAAAACCTAGTTCATCAAGTAGCCGAGTCCAAAAGTGTTTTCGTTGCCAAGGCATTGGTCACTATGCTAGTGATTGTCCAAACAAGAAGATCATGGCTATTGTTGAATGTGAAGAAGAAGAAGAAGAAATAAACCCCTTTTGGGTTCAAGGAGAGCCGAAAGAAGAAGAGGAAATTGTTGGCCCCGACGAAGGTGAACTGTTGGTCATTCAAAAGACAATTAGTCATGCGGCTGCCCGGGATGAGTCCGCACACCGAGAGAGTATTTTTCATACCCGTTGCACCGTTCAAAAGAAGGTGTGCTCAATGATCATCGATAGCGGAAGCAGTGCCAATGTTGTTTCCAAAACAGCGGTGGAAAAGCTCAAATTAGAGACGTTACCACATCCGGAGCCTTATGAGATTCAATGGTTGAATCTAGATGAGGGAATACGTGTGAATACACGTAGCTTGGTCTCTTTTAACATGGGTCGGTCCTTTCAAGATGACGTGTGGTGTGACGTAATACCGATGAGAGCTTGTAATATTCTTCTCGGGAGACCATGCTTATTTGACCCGAGAGTTATGTATGACGGGTTTGCTAACACGTATTCATTTATGGTGGGTGCTAAGAAGTTTACTCTTTATCCATCAATCCCAAAAACCTTACTGCCCCAAAAGAAACCCTCTTCCATACTCTCCATTTTTGCCCAACCAAACCCTTCAAGGTTCAAAAAATTGATTTATGAACCATTGTTTGAGCCGGATATACCATTGTTTGGTGCCAATGTTTGGGTATTTAATTTGCAGGGAAGTCATGAAGGAGTACAAGGAAGTGAGGACATTTATTCTAAGTGCCCAAAGAGGCATTTGCAGATTTTCATTCCCCGAGAACTGAGAGAAAGCATGATCGAAGCTTTTGATGCACGCAAGTTCAAGTCCGTCCCCTACAAAGAGCCTAAAGAAAACTCGAGTTTGAGGGCAAACTCTTTCGAAGAAGGGGAGGATGTTAGATATCCGGGAGCATCAATGGAGACTTTCCTTAGCCCACAAAAGGAAAGACGGATCAGGGGAATAAATCCAAAGTGTGGTGACGTTTTTAGGGTTGAATCCACTCCTTCGCCCTTCCCTAAAGCCCAAACCAACACCAGGGCTGTCCTACACCCCACCTAGGCCGAACCAACACCCCCCATTCCTTCCCTAAACATCCAGAGTTCCTTGTCATTTAATTCCTTTCAAAATAATGTTTTCCTACACTTATTTTTAGCCTATGGCAGAAAATAAGAGTGTAAACCAAAAACTTTTGTTTGTTGTTATTTCCCTTTTTCCTTTCTTTCTTTGGCCAAACTTAGGGCATCCCATGAACCCCATATCACCCCTAATACACCCCTGGCAAAAGTTCTTTGCATAAACCACAACCAAACAAAACACTTCAATTCCCTCATTTGAGAGCCGAGGATACCAGGCCAAAACCACTCCCTTATTTCACACAATAAACCCACCATTACCAGCCAAAACCCCTCTCTTATTCCATGTAAGAGACCTGCCCCTGCCCCCCCTTTTGTTCCCCAACAAAGCTGCACAGCCCTGGCCCACCACTAACTCAATCAACTCTCTCTTATTCTCTACATAAACACCCAAGAGATACCTCCAAAAGAACAGCCAGCCTTCCCTCTCTTTTACCCCCACTTGGCCGAGAATACATCACCCAAAAAACCAATCAAAGTATGGGTATTATTCACATAAATATTTCCCATGCACTAAAGGCCGAGAAGGGAGCTCCACAGCCACACATCATCTCTGAATTTTCTCCCTAC